AAGGCAACATAGGAGTTCTGTGCCTAGTTAACAACAATATTAGATGACCTCACAGTAAAAATTAAGCATAGTTTGTTAAGGGTATGTCAAAACTGCTTTGAAAGTCAGTAGAAACCTAGTGAAGCTTGTATGTTTACTTGCACTTTTACAATGGAATAAGTACAAAAATAAAACTTCAGGTGTTAACAACGCTTACACCCTTTTTAGAACCAACATCTGTAAGGCTTATGGTCTGACTTTATCAGGCTAATTTCTCAGGTGTAACATTCTCACAAAACAGCAGTCTGACTGTACCATGAACTATGCTTACTGGCTTTTAGGGTTTGAATTTAGTTAAAAAAATTAGAACCTGTGAAAAAACACTAGATAACAGTCCTTAAATCCCCTTCATATTCATAGAAAGGGTGTAGATTAGGGAACTAGGCTTCTTACACAACATCACACCACCACCTGAAAACTTACTCAGAAGATGATATCTAGGGGGCAACGGATTAGTTCTGTCTTTATCTCTATCTAACCCATGACCTTTCAATTGAAACTAGCAGCTCGAGTTCAAATTGCAATGGTGATTTTGTTATATTTTCCGACATGAATGGAAAACCAAGTAGATGTTAACAATTTATTTCACAAAACTCAATAGCCAAGCAGTAGCAACTTTCAGTCCTCCTCAACATCAGATGGTTTGCTTGGTGATCTAGAAGTTAAAGGTTCTGTACGCCATAACCAGTTCCCTGAGACACATCCTAAAATTATGTTAGGATGTATGTGCAGTAGCTTAATCCACTATTATGACCTTTTTATCTGCATTTGGTATTGAAAGTAGTTGGCTAATGGTCAGAAAAAAATGCATGATTAGATGTGTCAAAAATATTATAGATTGAATATTTGTGTGCCAAAAAGTTATGTAAATGGGCAAATTCACTGATTATGGGGTTACTCACAAGTGCAAGAACTACAGTATAAGTTGTCCCAGTTTATAGATATTGTCACGTCGGGGTAGAGCTTAATGTGCTGGTAAAAAGTGTAAGAGTTGATTTATTTTTCCATGTATACCTTACCCAAGCAAAACATTTGTAGCACAAAAACAAATACAGAGTCAAAAATGCAGTAAATCAAATTTAAGACAGAATATAAAGCTGAGCTCCTCCAATAAGGGCAAGCCAATCTTCATTCTCTTTTGATATGATGTTATTAGGCAAACTATCTGTGTATATTTTAATTTGAACATCTATTTACCATTGAAATAAATACATGTAACAAGTAAACATAATTACTACAAACATTCATGTCAACACCAAATGGTGTAAGTGTGGAAAATTGTGGAAAAAAAGGTGGCAAAAGTGTGGAAAATTGTACATCTGATTATACAAAGAGCAGGCACACGTTTAGATTCACATTCACACAGTTTACCCTATGGACCACCTTTGTACTCCAAATAGTCAAACGAACTGCATAGACTGCAATTTTTGTATATATGCCCTCAAAGTATTAATTTAAGAGCTTATTATGGAAACATAGTATGTAAACAGATTATGGAACAGAACAGCAAAATGATCTGAATCATTTCTATAATTATTTGAAGTACTTAAAGACCTAGAGATGTAGATCAAATTTAAACTCCCCTTTATTTAAAAATTCTACAGTAAAGCATTTAGATCTTGTGAAAGCCTAAAGTCTTTGCAAATGCCAGGTCCTCTGTATTAACATTGGAAATAAGTAAAAGAAGTAGTAAAATATTTACTCTGTAGAGATGCATACCAATATCCAATACCTTAAATAAAAAGAGGTCTAGATAGTTAAGGCATGCGGGGAGTGGGGAGGGGTTGTTGTTTTTTTTGATAGTTTTCAGCAGAAATTCCCACAAATCTGCAGAAGTCCCAAATCCAATATTGCTGCAAATTTTACAAAAATATAAGAAACTGGAAATTCATATTGGTAGATTTTTATGTGAATAACTGAAGTTCAGTGATGATTCAAGAAAGAGCATGATGCAAACTATAGTTCTTGTAACAAGCGTTGTCACCATATCATTGAAAGCCATATTACAAGCTGCCTACAAGGCAGTATAATGAAGATCACTGTAGTTGTTTTTGATTTATATGCAAAAAAAAAAAAAAAATCAAAGAATGTATATCCTCTGGTTATTTTATCCGTAATGTGCAGTTGAATTTCAACAGGTTTATTATATCAAAGGTGATAGAAAAGTTGGTTAAAATCAGGGAAATTAGTGTTAATATTACACAGTTTGTAGAAAGGAATTCCTGCAAGACATTTACGTAGTTAATGAGGTTAAAAAGGGGAAAACGGCATATTGGAGATTAAAATTTTAGTTGATAGCCATTCATGAAATTCAACAGATATGGTTCAGTTCTTCCAACTGCAACTATCTGTATTTTTCCAAATTATGATATAAAAAATTAGTAGTCTTAAGTATACTTTGCTACTGTCACTATATGGAAATGCTTGAAATTTCCATAGCAAATGTGTCAGCACATGCCTGAGTTTTGTGAAAGCCTGAAAAATCACAGGTCTGAGGTAACAGACTTACTTAAAAGATTAAAAGGTGTTGGTGGGTACTTAAAATTTAAATATTCTTTAATTACAGCACTACTCAGAACATTTAAGAAAGGAAAAAGTGTATTAACAAGATCCATCTCAGCATTTCCCAAAGGAAGAAGCAGGAGTGAATAGACAGGAGGCAGTAAAAGATGTATAAATGAAAAAGTGCATGCCTTTAATGCCATAGGGCAGAGGTTCTCAAACTGTGGTCCACGAGCTTCTTTCACATGGTCCGCAGAAAGGTTGTGGAACAATTGAAAATATCTGTACTTGTGAGGTAAGACTACTGATATTAAAATATGAGTTGTTTGCTTTGATTTGTAGAGAAAAAAAAAGTTTATTAAGTGGTCTGCCAAGATCCTCAGCAATTTTCAAGTGGTTTGCAAAAATAAATGTTGAGAACCACTGCCACAGGGTATATTTAACAAGTATAATAATTAGCTCTGGTTTCTGAAGGGGAGCTCAGTTTTCAAATGAATGACATTGTAGTAAATGAATTACACTGTAAGAATAATGGAAGATTGTGGAAGTATAATGAAAGAATTTAGTATTACTCCCTTGATTTTTCAGGTGAGAAAACCTGATATAGGGAGGATATGTGACTTGCTCAGAACTATATGGTGAATCTATGTCAAATGTAGGATTATGACTAAAAAAATTGCTACTTTCCAGTCCAATGTCAGGGGTGATTATGTCTTGAATAGGCTGTTGGACAAGGTGACCTCCTGCGGTCCTTCCAGCCCTACTTTTCTATGATTCTAATCCATTAGATTATGCTAAAGAAGTTACAGAAACTCATCAGGTTCTATTTTTTTAATAATTTAAGCAGCCCCCTAAATAATTAGTTTGAAGTGCTGGTACATAGTGCTTCAAAGTTATGTAAGGTAGGAGTTTCATTTTAGATACTCTCAAGTCCAATATATTGGTATATTTTAGGTCTTCCTTTACCCAAGTGCAGCTCATTCTTCTAGAAAAAAATAGAAATTGGGAAGGTGTGAAGAATTCTAACTAAAGAAAGGCTTGAATAAACTTCCTCTAGTCAGAGTCTACCAGTTACAGAATAATATTTTTTCTTGTGCTCCAAAAAAAATACAAACAAGCAAACAGCAGCAGCAACACACACACACGCACACACAGATGTGTATGTATATCTATAGATCTATCTCAGGTTTATTTAGATATAAGATTTGCCTCTACAAAAAAAGAGAGAAACGTAGTAAAAAGAGAAATTGGGAATAAAAGCAGAGGTTATCTACCTTAGGTTTTTCTAGATACCTTGGGCATCTTCCTCAAGGGTGGGTGAATGTGTATATGTATATAGGCGCATGTGTGTATAATATGTGTACACACACACACACACACACACACACGTATATGTGTACACACACACACACACACACACACACACACACACACCCCCCCTTGAAGAAGATACCCGAGGTATCTAAAAAACCTTAAGATAGATAACCTCTGCTTTTTCCCCCCAATTTCTCTTTTTACTACTTTTCTCTCTTTGCTTTTAGAGGCATTACTCCTGCTTTTCAGTGTGTTGAAACCCATGTGTTTAGTAACAAGAGAGACTATTTTTACCAGGAAAAAAATGCAATTTCTGTTCCATAGTAAGTCAGAACAATTCAACCGACACCGTGCAATGGTGATGAGAGGCGAGTTGAGCCGTTTATAATCTCTTCGTGCCCTGGGCAGCTCAAATCTCAATCTTGCACACGAGAAAGTCAAGGTGCTTCTCCCAGAGTGCTTTCCGTGCCCCCTCCCCCGCAGCACTTGGCACCAGAAGCGTGCGAGCCGCTCGCGTTCAGCACCTGGGACAGCGCCCGAGCCTCGCGCTCAGTTCATTGCAGTGCGGGGCGGCTCCAGCCTCCCTCCCCGCCCCCCGCCTCCCGAGCAGCCGGCCCCTATCAAAACGCCCGGTGCCCGGGTTTGGCACCGCCGAGCCTTTCTAGCCTTTGCTGCCCTCTGGATTACAACCCGAAAGGAGGCAAGTACCAGCGGCAGGCCAAGACTAAAACACTCCCCCGAGGCCATAAAGTTTGCGGCCAGACACAACGACTACATGCAACATTTGCCTTAGCTCCATCCTTCCACCTACAAAACTGCCCCTGCCAGCCATCCGCCCCTGGGTGACTGACAGCGGGCCCACCAGGCTTTCGAGGAGGTGGGTTAACGTAAGAGGTGGATTCTGGCTGCACGGGTCTTGGCCAGCCACTCCACTGCAGGATCTTGCAAGCCCGCAGCTCCCAACATGGCACTGGCCCAAGCGCTTCCAGCCCCGGCCTCTGGGGATGGTCCCCAACCAAGTTCCAGCAGCCAAGCCAAGATCCAGCCCCTTCCCCTTCTCCTTGCCAGCCTGCACCCCGCCACCAGCGAGCACCCCGCAACCCCGGCTCCAAGCCTCCCACCGGCAGAAGACTCCAAGGACTCACCATGTTGACTTCGGACACCATGTCGATGCTGGCGATGTCAATGTTCATGCCAACGCAGACGGGGGGACCTGGGGAGGCGGAGGAGGAGAAGCCATCACCTCCTGCCCATCGCCGCTTCCCCGCAGCATCGCTGCTCCGCGGGGAGGGACCTCTCCCACGCCTCCTCCGGCACCCGAGGGAGCCGGGACACCCCCCGCCCTGCCTCCCCGGGGCACCTCACCTCCAAAATCCGGGCGGAGGCGGATGTCGTAGCCTTTCAGCAATTTATCCACAGTTTCTTTCACGAAGGACATGTTGCCGGGATCGTTCACGCTGTGGAGGAGGAAGGGGGGCAGAGAAGAGGCCATGAGGTGCTGGGCCGGCTGGGCCCCCCCTCGCCTCCCCAGCCCGGCCAACCCCAGCGGCCCCTACCTCTGGGCGCAGCACACCACGGCCACCAGCACGGGAGCGGAGAAGAGCCCGAAGATCCTGCCTCCCGCGAAGCCCCACATCCCTCCCCGCTCCCTGCCGCCGCCGCAGCTCCGGCTTAGCCTGAGCTCCGCCGAGGAGGGAGGGAGCGAGGGAGGAGGCGGAGGCGGCCGGGCTCCCCACCGCCCACC